ACAGTGAGAAGGGGCCACCTATGAACCAGAAGGCTCCTCTCCCTAGATACTAAATCTGTCAGTGCCTTGATTTTGGATTTTCTAGTCTCCAGAATTATGAGAAATATATCTTGTTTATAAGCCACCCAGTTTATGGTATTTTTGTTAGAGCAGCCCAAACATAATAAGATACTTTCCAATAAAAAAAAAGCACTTACAAATATGCTACCTACATTTTGTTTCTTATTTCTTTTATTATAGAGTAAAACTCCATTATAAGGTATCATAATTTATTGTGGGTTAGGTTTACTGCAGACTAAAATTACTTTCCTCTAATCAGGTCATATATTCAAATGTTGACTAATGTTATGTCATGTAAACATCACTGCTTCTGGTTGGTTAACTTTCTAGAAGGAAGGTTTCAACTTTGATTAAGATAAGCCAAGATCAATTATGTAAGCATTTTACAAATACCTCTGAATATCACAACTGTTGTATTTATTGTTAGAAAGGAAAACTCTGCAAAGACATAGAGTACTTGCATTTAATGCCTCTGATCAGGGTAGAAACAATTTTTTTAAAAGCTTACTTTAGCAAAGCATTCACAATATGCTTATTTTTCTTCCTTGGACCTTAACTTTGTCTAACTTTTGTAGAATGTAATATATTTTCTTATCCTGAAATACAGGAATTTTATAAGGTACATTGTAAAACAAGTAAGACTTTCCTGATATCTCCTTCTCTAGGAAAGTCCTACCATGGACCCTCATCCCCAACAAGTCAGGGCACTGACTCCCTGAAGCTCTCACATACCACGTACATATTTCTATCATTATCTTTCTACATGGTTTTATACATCTGCTTAAAAGTCCACATGCTCAGTTAGATTTTGAGCAACTTGAAGGCAGGGATTACATGTCATTCATCATCACACTATCCTTGGTACCTAGCACAATATCAAACATATAGCAGGAGCTCATTATACATTTACTGAATTAAGAGGTCAATGAATGGACACACTGAAGGGCCACTGGACAGGTATAAGCTTCTATTTTCACCCAGGGATGGATTAGCATCCTCACTTCTTCCCTACTGTTTTTCAAGAAATTCCAAGACAATTCTAGATGCAGGATAAGGATGTGGACCAGAAAAGTATAGAAAGAGGAAAAGGAAATGGCCAAGAATGAGAAAGGGTCTTTCTCAGAGAGCAGGAGGCATGGAATAAGTCCTGTGGACCACAACTGGGGACAACACGGTGTATCTACCTTAATGTTGAGTGCAGTGTTGCCAAGTCCCTGATTCCCTGAGCCCTTCCCTTCCCTTCCTTTCACTTCCTTTCTTTCTTTTCTTTGTTTTCCTTTTTTGCTTTTTCTGGGGGTTCCTTCTTACCATTTTGTAGTCTTTTATTGGAAATCTCTAGCTCTCCTGAAAGGAGCCTAAGGAAGGCTCTGCTTGGCAAAGCTCTAAGGAGGACAGAGCTCCTACCACTTACCCTCTGCCTTCCCCTCCAATTTTGAAGCCATTGTAGTGGTAACACATGATAAGAACGTGGGACAATCACATCCCTTTTAATTGCTGAAAACACGGAGATTCTTCCTTTTGTTTTTAATCTGGGTGATGTGTTTGAGGGGGAAGAGGAAACTTCTTCTGTGGGAACATTTTCCTTGGCCCCTAACACCAGCACTGGAAATGGCTTTATTGACTCGTTAGGACTACAAATACAGCAAGAAATTCTTTCAACATCTGTAATACTTTTCTCACTACTCATTTTAGATTGCTTTAGCTTCCTGTGAGGAGTCAAAACACATATGTGATGTGTGACCAATGCTATGGTTTGAATGTCTGTCCCTTCTGAAACTTGTGTTGAAACTTAATCCCCAATGAGGCAGTGTTGAGAGGTGGGGCTTTTAAGAGGTGATTGGTCATGCGGGCTCTGTCCTTATGAATGTATTAATCCACTCATGGATTAATAGGTAATCACAGGAGTGAGGCTGGTGGCCTTATAAGAAGGGGAAGAGAGACCTGAGTTAGCATGCTCAGCCTCCTTGCTATGTGTGCCCTGCACCATCTTGAGACTCTGCAGAGAGTCCCAGTAGTAAGAATACTCTCACCAGAGGCAGCCCCTTGACCTTGGACTTCTGAGCCACCATAACTGTAAGAAATAAATTCCTTTTCTTTATAAATTGCAAAGTTTCAAGTATTCTGTTATAAGCAACAGAAAATGAAAATAAGACAGCCAACTTATATTTTTCTTCTAACCTTTCCTTCCCCAAACTTCAGTCCCATTTTTAGCCACTGGGGCTGGGGAATAAGATGTAGATGAGAACTTGAGGAATAGATGCATACTTTGCATCCTCACAGTCATGATTAGCTGTAAGCCTAGAAGCCTGGGGCTGAGGTGGCCTGCCCAGGGCCCTAGGAAACACCTGCTGGAGACTCTGAGAGGGTAGACATGTGGAGACGCCTGGTTTCTACCTTTACCGTGAGTCTAATGACCATGCCAGTTATAGTAGAATTATGTGTGTATCAGGAGAACATTACGGTTTTCATTTTTAAGAATTCATCCAGTATTAATTAAAAAATGAGACATTACTAATTTTTATAAGTATTTTTTTAAAAAGAAAAGAATAAGTTCTTACATATGAACTATGAATCAATATTTTTTCCAAGAGAAAATGGATATGGTAATACAATGGAGGTGTTGGCCCAGCAGAGATAAGACTGCTCATTGTGACTAGTGATCTAGCTTACTGCTTACATTTTTACATTTGAAAAAAAAACTGGAGCAAGTTCCTTTGCTTCTTTAAGTATTGTCTCTTTTCTTATTTTTGTCTGATGTACATAAACGTAGTTAAAACTCTGACACAAAGGGCTAATTTTGCTCTTTCAGAAAAAAAACTTAAATGTTTTCCAAAAGCTTTAAAATATTTTCCTGTCCTTGTAAAAGAAAATACAAATATAAGGGGGATTTAGTGTTTGATATTTTATAAAGTTCTTGGAAACCATTTTGATGGCACTGCATTTATGATACCAAGGTTAGAGAAAAGAATAAAAACATCCATCCAGATTTAAACCCTTCCAAGGTCAGAATTATATTGTATATATATCCAGAGGTTTATCCTTTTAGTATGAACTAAACAGTTCATATGCTTTAGTATTTAAGCATAATTCAGATTTCAAGGCTACTTAGGAGTCATCTCTACCATTTGTACAGCATAATACCCCTTTTATTGTTGTGTAAACATATATGAGTATTATCAATATTTGTAAGATAATCTAGTTTAATAAACTTAGTACCAAATGTAAACTCTAGGATTCCTGATGGTAATTAGACCAATCAACTGGCATACTTACAATTGCATTTCTTCTGAACAAACCTAAGCTTGCATGCTGTTCTGTAGGTGGAGAGTCGGATGCGATCCAGATCTTGAGCCCCTAGTGCGGGGAAAAAGGACACATATGGTATGCCATGTGTGCAGAAAGAAATTTACAATGTTTACAAATAAAACAACTGCAGATATGATCCTTACACCTAATTTTATTTTTATTAGAATATAAATATAACTTTAAGAATTGAACAGGTCTGTCCTATTCAAGGACAGGTTCCTCAGGTTCTAGGGAAAAAGAGCACACACATGTAATCAACATTGGAGATCAGGTTGTAAACCATATTCATGGATCAAGAAACACAATGTCATCCCTGTTGTGTCCACCACTTCTGAGAACAATCTGCTCAAGCTGTGACCTACAGTGAAACAGCTAGATGATATACATACTATCATCAAATAAGCATTTAAAGTGCATTGCTATTGGTCATTAGAACGTGGCTGTTAGGTGACCATGTACTAACTGTTGAGCATCTTCTCTGTGTGCCCTTAGGCCAATTGCTTTTAGAGCTTCAATTTTCTCACTTGGAAGATGGGGATGATGATAATAGTAGTACTTATTTCACAGGACTGTTGTAAGGATAAATAAGTGAATATACCTAAGGCACTTAAACACTGTCTGGCACACAGTAAATGCTGCATAAGTATTCATTTTTATTACTAATAACTTTCTTGTGATCCTTCCTGTCACTCTCAGAGGAAGAGATGCCTTTCTAAAACAACCTCTACCCTTTCTTTTATTGTGGCTTCCAGTTCCTTCCTAACTTGGAGCATATTCACTGTATTCTTACACTACTTTCTTTATTCCACTCTTCCACTTAGGAGTCCAGCATGGCTCCTGATGCCGAGAACATCAGGTCTAAAAGCTCCGCTCAGAATCCAAGCTTGTCTGCAGGTTCTTTCTGGCTTACCTACCTAAGGACATTGCCCACTACTTTCTACCACAGAATCTCTCCTAGGTAGGCTTGGTCAGCCTCGTCTCAATACCCTGCAGATGGGCTGCTTGTTACATCAAGACCTGAGCTCCTAGTATTCCGCCCACCTTCCTTTGAATGAGTTAATCTCTAGACTGTGTCTAGAACACATTAGACTTTCAATAAATGTCTGCTTTTCTCAGTTTCTACATATTTGTTTTTTCTAAGCCCATGTTTGTGGTTCATAACAGATATACAGGTTAAATACTTCATAACAGATAAAAAGTATTGAACTTCTATCTCTACCAGTCATATACTAATAAAATGTGCTATGTGAATCCTTTAGAGTAAAACAGAATAGCAAGTAAATGAACTATCCTGGAAGCAATGATATTAGAAGGCCAATTAAGTGCTTTCCCAGTGAAACTCAGGATGAATTAGCAAGTGTCCCTCACTAGGGGATTTAGCATTTCCTCAACTCAAACCGGTATCTTCAGATTCACTGAAAGTGTTGCCAATAGTGCTATTACTTTGTGGTTTTATCAAGATCATTAAATGGTCACTCTTAGTAAAGCTTATTATTTGACAAACAGGCTTAGCGACACTGAGCACTTGAGGGATTAAAGAGATGGGGAACTCGCCTCACCCAGTGCAGGAATTCCCTTAGAAATGTTCTCAAGAGATGAACATTTAGCCAATGGCCATGTAGGATTATTTCTAATGATAGAGAAGATTATTACTTGTGAAAATAAGTAAACTTTAATTCTGTCACTTCCCAGTTGTGTGTTTCACCAAGTTTTTCCATGGCATCTCAATTTCCTCATGGATAAAACAAGATAAAAATATCAACTTTACTGGCTGGTAATAGATAGATATAAAGTCTTGACTTCTGCACTGGGAACATAATGACCACTTAACAGTAAATGGGCCATTTCTGAACAAAAATATGTGATAGAAGTGTCTTTTTTATGTTTGAGCTTTGATTTGCCTCCTTGTAACTTCAACCTATTTGATCTGGTTTCCCCTGGAGTCACATACTCTTTCCCCCTGCCACTTGAGAATTCATTTCTCAAATATTGCAAAGCAGCTACATTATCATTATTAGTGTCTTCATTACCATCTGAAAATTATGTGCAAAAGTTCTTGTCATCATGGACTTTAAACTTTAGCTGGGCAGGTAGCTTCTCCTTGGCTTTTTTTAGGGTAAAAGATGTTCAACTCCACGGCCATTTCAGGTATAGTGTTTATCTGTCTGGCACCCAGTAGGGCTTCAATTCATGGCAGTTGTTATTATTTTCATTATGATCAAGCATGGTTTGAGACCCCTAAACATTCTAGTCACCCTGTTCTGTGACTGGCTAAAATCTCTGTAAAATTAGGTGTCCGAAATTAATCCCAATAGCGATTGCTTTACCTGTATAGAATATATAGAAAGCAATTATTACTACCTTTGATAAGGACTCCTAACTAATGTGATCTTTTTGAAAAAATAGATGGCTTATTATGCCACTTTTATTAAGTTTGAAGTTCATTTAAAAAACTACTTTGAAAAATCATATGCACTTCTATATAAGTCAAATCTTTTCTATTTGCTATTTAAATGCCTATTTTGGAGCTAAGGGTAGGACTTCGTATGTATCTGGTTAGTTACTTTTAAAATTTAGCTCATACTTTGAACTTTTCTGAATCTTTTAAAATTCTTCAGTTGTCACTGGAACTTCAAAAATCTTTCCCAGTTTCATGCCCTCTGTAAATCTGAGAGACTCATGTGGGGAATGAGCTCTCTAGGGTGCCCGATAACCAGAGACAGAGAGACTATCAGAAATACCTGAATGCTAAATCTGCCTTTGCTCCCAGATGAGGATGTACTTTTATTGGTGCTAAGTTTGGCTCAGCAATCAGGAGAGTCTCAGTATCTGTAAATAATCACTTAAAAGAAAACATTAGGGGCATAGATTATTTGTGTAAGTTCTTCAAGCATAATGATCTAAGCTCCAGATGAAAAGAGGTTTGTGATGTGCTACATAGTTAAGTTTCTCAGTTTCCGCAAGACCTTACCCTCTGAGCACAGTAACCCTGGCACCTCTGCACTTTCCTCTGATGGAAGTCCTGGGGGAAATATGGCAAAGGTGCACTTCTCCAGGATGCAGTAAAGAAGGATGTGGAGATGCTGCTTTGGGCCTGAAGTGCACTGACTGCTCTCTCCTGTCCTATCACTATGTGGACTTAGCTGACCCTGTGTTTTGTTCAAGAATCAGGAAGAGGTCTGTAGGTCTATCAGTGTTGTATAAATTCTTCCTGGTTGATGATGTAAGCCCTGAATATTAAAAGGGATGTGGTGAACAATAAAATTTAGTGTGTCAGATATAGCAGCACACAACCATGCACAATCAATGTATGTGTTAACTGCAGGATCCATCCAGAAAGGGACCAGAAGAAGCTGGGCTGAGATATGATACATAGCCTCTTACTCTGTTTAGCTATCTTGTCAAAATAAATTTTTTTTTCTCTGCCCCAACAAACCATGAACTTAACCCAGCTTTACATGTGTGGTCTTTTCTTGAAAGTGTATAAACCCCCAAACCTACTTGCGATTAGTTGTGTGACTTCTGTGTCTTCATTTGAGTCACTGATTAAAACCAAGGACCAGAACAGGGCCACAAACAGAGCCTTCCAGGATACTACTAGAAGCCTTCCTCCAAGTTGATAGACCCATTAGTTGTGGCTTTAGACATGGTCATGACATTCCCTATAAATCTACCTAACTGTATTGTGACCCAGTCCACAATTCCCCAACACATGCACAGTCTAAGAGTTTTTGTCAATATCTTGCTGAAATTAATGTTAATTTTTATCAGATGGTATTTTCCTGATCTAGCAGTCTGGTAATCTCATTAAAAAGTGTTATTAGCTGACTTAATTTATTTATTAAAAAGATAGAATTTACATAAATGAGTAAAGAAATAAAATCAGCAGAGCAATCTTTGCTTTTAGCATCTTGACATGTCTAGAATTACTACTATATTTTGGCCAAGATCTAGAAAAACATCCATTTCATTACAAAACTTATAACCAGTTCATACCCTAAACTCCAAAGAATCTATACTTTTTAATAAAAAAGTACAGAATTTTCCCATCCATTTTTTTCAATGTACTCTTCATTATTTTTCGAAATAATGGATAGTGGTTGTTTTCTGAATTGTATCACTGGGATATAATTCTTTAAATCTGGAGATTCCACTCATTTAAGTGATTTCCTAATTTTGCTTCATGCTAATACAGTGGGGGATGGCATACATAATTAAGGGTTGAGATAAATACTATTTTCTCTACTTCTACATATATTTGAAACTTTTCATAGTAAGAAAAACTAAAATTTATTTAAGGCAACTTAGTGCTCTTGCACCATCTCCTCAAGCCTCTTGTACCCATGTCATAGTTGGAAGGAAGTAATAAATATGACAACAAAGACACAGTTAAACTCTGATTGTTTGCACTGTCAGCAGCTTATATAAAAAATTGGGTGATTTTTTCCTTTCTTTAGCCCTTTTTAAAAAGATTCTCTTTCTTCCCTTCTCCCTCTATCCCTGCTTCCCTCTCTCACTCCCTCTCGCTCCCTTCTTTCCTTCTACCTTTTCCCTACCCATTCATTCGTTCATTCAACCAACCTATCAACCAATAAATCAACCAACCAGTCTTACCTAATTTTTGCTTTTAGCTTTTGCACTCTGAACATTTTCACACAGTTTTTGTATGTTTTGCCTTCTATATTTTGAAAGCTTGTTATAAAACCTTCTATTAATATATAGCCATTTGATTCTTAAATATCTCATTCATTTAAAAGTTTTGCTAAACATATATTTACAGAATAAAAATGAAGCCTATGATGAACCTGCTGCCTGAACTCTGCCACACTTTATCACTGGCTGTGTGTGTGTGTGTGTGTGAAGGAGGGAGGGAGAGAGAGAGATACTGAGAGAGAGACAGACAGAGAGAGAGAGAGAGATACTGAGGGGAAGGTTAAGGAGTTTAGGGGTGAAAACTAATTGCTACCTTAGGTAGCTGAATGGGATAGAGTCTTCCTCATTGAGCTAAGTAAAGTACAAACAGGGAGGAACAGGTTTGTTGATGGGTG